GCTTTCCACTGCAAGGTCAAGTTACATGAAACTGTAACTTGATTATCATTGTTAATAGGCTTCTGTGATTTAAGATAAAGAGAGTATTTAAAATGAAACAGGGAGTCTCATGTTGGGAATCTCAGCTTCTGGAGAAGAGGAAGATGTTTGGTGATGAAGCTTATAGAATTAAAAAGTTGTAAGTAATCTTTAAGTCAGTCTGTAAGTATTCTCAGTACATTCTTGGTGTGCTAAGTTATGCCTTGTGGGGGATAGATTACTAGACATGGCCTTGAGGAGTCTGCCATTAAGCAGGGTAGAATGGGGAATCTTGGATGCCAAGCACTTACATCCACCCCTTTAAATAATTTTAATTTTTTATGGTAGGTATTATCATATGACTTCAAGGGACCAAACTCAGGAAAGTAAACTATTTCCCCCAAATTCTATATAAATCATGAGTGGTAGAGTCAGGATTTGAATTCATATCTGGTCTGGTTCTAAAACTTATGTTCTTTTCAGCATTCCATACTGTCAGGGAAATAGTAGCCAAGAGAATAGATAAAGAAAGTGATTGAATGCTGTATAGGACTGATGTGGCCTGCGATGGTTTAAAGAAGGGAATGAGCCCAGTGCCCTGGAGAGCTAAGAGAAAACTTTTCAGGAGAAAACTTTTCAGAAGAACTTTTCAGGGAAGTGGTATTCCAGTAAGTTCTAAAGCCAACATATTTATCTGATAGTGGTTGGAAGAAGAGAGGTCTTTCCAGGTAGGGTGACCAGTTTAAAGAAAAGCTTGGGAGTAGGAATAAAAATGTGCTGAAGGCCAAAGGGGAGAGACTGGATTAAGAAAATGAAAATTATTCCTTGCGGGCCTCCTTCTTCTTTACTTCATCTTAATTCAGATGATGGAGGGAGAGCCAGCTCAGGAGAGAGTTCCTCTCTCAGGGACAGGAACTCAGCAAACCTAGCCTTCCCCACAGTCTTATCTGGAGCTACTGCCTCGAAGGAAGATATTCAGAGTCCCCAAGGCAAGGGGCCTTTTCTCAGAAGTCCCAGATGAGGCAGGTTGTGAACTTCCTGGAGGAAGGGTGAGGGAGCCAGGTGGTTCTCTCTTTCCTTTTTGGAATCCTGGCCAGTTTCAATTTACATAACACAGCTTAATCCACCAAAACAAGAGCCAGGAGGCAGGTTCTCTTTTTTTTTTTCCTCTCCAAGACACGGAAACCTTTATTTTCTCCCTACACTGCAAACCAGTGCTGTTAAATAATATTGGATAATTGCACCTGTCGTATTTCCCATATTGTGCCAAGGGAAAATAATTGCTGGTTTTCTGCTTTGCAGTTTAGCAGTGACTCCATCATTTGACTCGGAACATGTCATTTTCTCCCATTTTAGACTGTGTACAGTCAGACTCTTGAAAGGACTCGCAGATAGCGGCCCTGCGTGTGTGAGTGGGCGCAGGCCTCATTCAGCAATGATTTCTAATTTATACAGCATTGAAAATCCACAGCTATAAATAAACAGTTCTGACTGGCTTTGCTGCCTACTCAAATGCTTTATTTTTTAAGCCATCGACTGCATGAGAAAGGAAAACAATGTCTGAATATGGATTCTGGTTTCTGACACTTGGCCCTGGGAGAGGGGACTCCCAGATCTGAGATGGATTCAGTGCTCAGCCAGTCAGCCTTTTGGGAGGCCTGGCCTCGCCTCACTCCTTCCTTGGCCTCCTCCCATTCCCCACATGCAGACGCAGCATGTGTGGATTACAGTATATGAAACTAACTTCCTATTATGACAAGTATTGCAAGTAGGTGCAGAGGAGCTAGAAATATCTTGAGAGATGTATGACTCTTTGGCAGGGCGTAGGGATAATGTATTGTTTAGGAAAACAAGATAAATCTTCTCCCCAAATTCAAAATTGGTGTCACATATGAGATAGCTCCCCCAGAACATAAGCATAAGTCCACGAAGCAGTGGTATTGCTCCTCCCTCTGCCTGGATGAAAATTCTCACCAAGTTGGGGTCACCTGACCATCTTCTTTTTGTCCAGCCTTGCAGAGATACATACATTTTTACTTTTTTAAATAAGGGCTTTTGGGTGACTGGTTATTGCTTTGCTCTGTAATAACGAGGAAAGAAGGTGGGGTCGGGAATCAACCATCTGTGTAACCTTGGATCAGTCCTCTCCCTCCTCTGAACCCAGTGCTGGGCTGGAGCCAGCTTGTACAGGTTTGTGAGAACCAAGTGGTTGTTCATATCTCCTCCTAACTCCGCATTCAGTGGCTCGCTGATAGCTGGAGAAGGACATGTTAGAGTGCTTACACCATGGAAATGGGCAAACACTATAACTCAGGGCCTTAAAATTTTTTTCCCAGAGAGTTGGTCTTTAAACATTCACCAGCATACCAATATCAGACTCAGTTGCTCATTTGTAAAATGAGGACATAATATATTTACTATTTGTAAGATTTTTGTGAGAATAAAATGAGATCATGGAGATGAGTATGGTTGTAAATTATATGATACTATACAAATATTATTGCTGGTTATCTCATCATTTGGTTTGTATTGTTTTCTAACCACTAACAGCCTAATGCAGCCTTATGTAGGCATTGCATACCTTTTAATGAATGTTTAATCAATGCTCTTTATAGGTATTTTTGTTGCTTTACCTTTTTTAAGCTATAGCAGCATCAAGGAAGCACTTGTGTGCTTATGCAAGTGCTGAATGGGAAATGGTTCTGAAGTATTTCTGGTGTTGAAATAGATACTGCACAGTGGCCAGTCATGCAGCAATCAAGGTTTAATTTGGTTCTAGGGACAGTGAAGCCACAAATAGAAATTGTAGGCTCATCTCAGCCAAGAGCTTACTATACCTCTATAAGTATGCATCTCGAGTCATCTTTGGGGGGGGGGGTGGAAAATTTGGGTGACCCCTGCGGACTTCATACTTGGGGAATTTCCATTGTGACCAGTGCTTCTGTGCTTCTGCTGAGACCAGGAGTTATGACAGCACTCAAGATGCAGCAAGAATAGGAAAAGAGGGGGTGTTGCCAGCTCAGTCCAAAAAACCTTGAGGCTCATATTTACATGATAGTAGAGGAGTAGGGATCAAGCAGATTTCTTGATGCCTTTCCTAGTCTTCCCTTGCCTACCCTGCCTGCCCTACTGGTATAGCCTGTTCTCTTCCCTAATCCTTCAAGACTGCTCTCGGTATTTTTGAGGTATTTCTGGTGTTGGAATGGATATTGCACAATGGTCAGTCATAAAGCAATCAAGGTTTAACTTGGTCCTAGGGACAGGTTTTTACCAAATTTTATTAATTTTTACCAAACTTTTCCTTTATAAAGTTAGGTTGGGAAGGCCTAGAACAATTTACTCTGGTGCCCACGCCCCAGCCCACCTGGGCCTGATTACACGCCAATAAATTTTAACATATTTACCCACCACTAGACATTTGTCATTTGTGATCTTTACAAAATATGCCTGTAAATAAAGATCTGGAAAAATTCCACTAAGGAAATCAAAGCAGGGTTCGTGAATGTGCTTGCTAATCACCTGACAATCAGCTTTGTTAAATCATAAACTAACTCAGCAAAGTGCTTTGTACCAAAGTAATCTCAGTGGTCCTCATAATTGAATCACTTTCCATTTATACCCTTCCCCAAGTAAAATGTACATTTGTTTGATGAGGTAGTCAGTACTTGAATGGAAGAGATTTTGACAACGTTGTTATGTTCAGTGGTTATACATACCCTGAAAGCTTGCTTATAGGTGGGACAGATTTTCTAACATTTTTATAACTTATTTTCTCCTAGTCCCAAATAATTTGCTATCATACCATATTAGGTAAACAGACAACTTCGGTAACAGCCATCTTCCTATACATCTATCTAGATTGAGGGGGAAAAAAAATAAATGAGCAATCCATAAAAATAACTAGCTTATGACAATCTTATTTTCAGGAAAGTTGGGATTATTCAAAAAATGGTATAGGACTAGGAGTTAGAATGAAGAAAAAATTTTGGGAATTTTCATTAAAAGCTAATCAGCCTCTTGTTCTGCTTCTGTAAATATGCTTGTTGCATGCAAGAGCTCACTTGCACTTTGTCCTACTTGTCTGAGCAGGGAATGTAACTGCTTGTACCCAGCAGCTCCTGGCTCTTGTAGCACTTTGTACCTTAGAAGCTCTCACTTCCTGTAACAATTTGTAACCATCAGTATCCGATAACAACTCTCCCTCTTTTACCAATGTTACTACTTGCAACCGTAACAACCACCACCATTTGTAATGGTCTGAATTCAAACCAACCAATCAGTTTGTGTAAAAATCCTGTCTATAAGGAATGTTGCAACTGAGCTCAGGGGCCCAGATTCTTCAGAGCACTAGCTCCTCTGGGACCGCATGTAATAAATATGAGCTCTCCTTCTCTCTGAGTTACTGCTTGGCTTTTTCTGGTCTGATTTTGGAGTTTTTCCATAACGAGAAGATCTGGGAGACAAAAGCTTCTGTCTTGGTTCTGACACTAACTTTTTGGTCTCATACAAGTAACTTCTCATCTAGGTTCTTAGCATCCTCCTCTGTAAAGTGAAGAGTTTGGATGATCCTAAATTCTATTCTCTGTCTAAACATTCTCTAATACTGAGTTTATCAGTTTTTGGGTTTTTTTTTTTTTTTTTTTTTTTTTGCCTATGGATAGATTTTGGCCACAGACCATCCTCCACAGAGGTCAGACTAAGGTAACATATTCTGAGAGAGCAGGAGTTGATTTTGGCACATTCAGTAAGCCTTTCAAAAAACAAGGAGTCCTCAAATTAAGCTACCTTTATAACCCTCTTATTAAATTCAAATATTATTCCCTGTCCTTTCTACTTTCCTATGTTTCTCTACCACTACCTCCCACCAAAAAAAAAAAAAAAAAAAAAAAAAGAAAAGAAAAAGAAAAAAAGAAAAGAAAGAAAAATTTAAAAAAAACCTCTTGTATTTTCTTCTTTCTTAGTTCTTGGAAAATGGCATGTAATTACTTGTTCTTCTTCCTCGGCTGCCTCTTGTCACCTGTGCAAACAAGAACAGAGACTTCAGATCTCAGGGTTTCCCTAACAGGTGTTTTTATGTAAATAGACATTCACCCTGACATGGGGCAGTGGAAAGTTGAAGACACTTTTCCGAAGGTAAGATGTCTTTAAGGAGTTCTAAAAAAAACCACCACCACTATTGCAGGGGAAGAAGCCATTCTGCTGTCTCCCCTTGGTGCTCAGCTCACAGCTGGCCAGTTGACCAGTGGTGTCATTGGTCTTCATGTGGCTCTGCATATCTAATCAGAACTATGGATTGCTGTTGCTCTTGGCCATGCCTTTGCAGGCTGTGCACAATCCATCAACAAACTTTGAGACTTTGCATGTGGAAACAAGAGACCACATCAAATTAGAGAGGAAATAGAAGAGTGAATATTCATCTAATTAAGGGTCTTTCTGTGACCTCACCAAATGAACTTATCAGCTTGAGTGAAAAAAATACTGGCATATTGATTAGTTTTTAGTAAGCTCATTAAAGGGTCTTTAGTTTTTAGTAAGCTCATTATGATTGAAATTATAGCATTAGATTTTTAGAATGATTTTCATCCAGCCAAAAAGTTGTTACCACTATATTTAATGATCATAAATCTTTACATACGCTTCGATATTTCTGAAACTTCATTCACTTTCCTGTTGGCAAATGCTAACCTACTTTGAAAACTTTTTTCAACTCTGCTTCTTATCTATTCTGGACTTTAAAACCCTGTTAGTTCTGGCTTGGTATTACCACAGCAATCTCACGCTCCTAATTTCATGCTTCACTGTTTAAACCCTGCCTCCCCTGCTTTCCCCTTAAATTATATTCTTAACAATAAACATTAAATATCTTCCTAATTTTATTTTGCTGGAACTCCCCTTCTTAGAGGCTGTAGTGACTGATAAGTTAAAGTCCTACTTGTCGCCCCCTCATCACACTGATTTTTTAGGACAGCCAGCTGCTCATCACATAGCCCTCATAGCCATCCCTGTATTCATGTCTCTCAGCATTTTTCAGGACAGTCTTCTCCCTTGTTCTAATTCTCATCAGTTCAGACTACTCCCAGTCACTTTAGCAAAGCCTTACTAATTTATCTAGCTTTATATGGTCCAGATTCTTTTCATTTATGCTTTCATTTATTTTTTATTTTTGATGCAAATTCTCTCCTCCCCAGTAAGGTCTTCTCTTTTCAAATTTGTTCCCCCTGTAGTCATTCTGAGGGTGCTTAAAACTTTCTTTATCCATGTTGTTTACCAGCTCCCAGTGCTTTGAATCTAACTGTAATCATAATCTCGCTCCTTCAACCCCAGGTGCCAAGGATTGGAGACTCAATCTTCATTTAAGAAACACAACAGAACATAAAGGCTTAGAAACGGCAGAAGCAGGAGTAGAAGTAGTGGTGGGAAGTTCAGTTGGGGGAAAAGAGCAGGTGGCTCCATCCACTGGACCAGAGTCTCCCACATCCAACACTAAGCAGCTAGGTGGAGCACTAAGAAATTTTCACATACCTACCACAGTGCTAGAGAAGGCACTGTCCCCAAATGTGTGTCTGTGTGGAACTCCAATATTCATTTCATTCTGTAGAGATTTACATGGTATGAGTATAACTTTTCGGAAATAATAGTTTCCTTTTTGGTTCTAGTAGATGGGGGTGGGTCCTTAGTCTTGCATTCTCATAGGATCGAGCAGTCTCTAGGCTTCTCTGAGTCTTCAGAATTTCTCTTTCCATGTTTCCATAATGCATGGCTAGAGATAAGGGAACTGTTGACTTAGTAATTGATCATATTATCTTATCCAAACAAAGTTCACAAAAAGGATTTTAAACTCTGATTGGGAAATGATGTTGTTTGTTATTACTCTTTTTTTCATTGAAGGGAGTTTTTTCCCCCATAGAACACCTTCTAGTTGGGAAATTAGGTCTACTACTGACTTATTTTAGTCCTTCCTTTGTCCCGTGTCAGGTAGCACCAAGGAGTAGAAATATTTTAGGCCAAACGTTTAATCTTTGTCTTGTGCAAGATCCAAACATTTTCTGCTAGCACGATAAAGGAACTGTTCTTTGAATCAATATCACTATGGATACTATTGTAATTATGCACTTTATTAGTCCAATAGTCAGAACACAGGTTAACTAAAAACATACTCTTCACAAAGATTTACACCTGTGTATCTACAACCACAAAAGCTACTGCTAGACTTTGAATTAAAAATTTGAAGAACATTTGCCTTGTTTAGCAGGTTGGCTTGGAAAAGGGTGAGAAGGCAGATGGTTGGAGAATATGAGGTGTTAGAGGAATAGAATTTGAGCACTGATGAATATAGTCACTGTGCAGAAGTAGCAGGAAGGAGGTGGAGCTGAAGGCTGGCTGGAGAAACCATTATGGGGAAAAGAGGCTGAGGAAGAGGGAGAAGTGATAATCCAGAGTGGACTGTCTTTGAGTTTAGAGAGATGAAATTAGGATGAGAAAGGCAAAAGTGCTTTAGAAATACATGTGGGAGTCATCTCACGATAAGATTATTTTCTTATGAAATGATCGGGGACAACATGCAAGACAGACAGACCTTATAACAAATTTCTTCATGGATAAAAACAAGGAGGTAGACTAGACTAAGCAAATTTTAACAATAAAATTTCCTTTCGAAAATATCTTCTCTAGAGCAAATAGTATTAAAGGAAGGTTTGGATGTCATTCTGCCCAAGGTACCATCACAAGGTCACTGGCCAGACTGGAATTTTCAGCTTACAAACTATCCTTGAGAAGAAAAAGATCTATAGTCTCAGTTTTTATACAGCCTTCTATCCTATGACACATAAAAGCACAGGGCAGGGAGTGAGATGGTGACAAGTCATGCAGAGGACTTTTTGTGCCACAACATCATCCTGAGGACTTTTTGTGCCACAACATCATCTTGAAGGCCAGCAAAACCTTCCTGAGGGTCGGACAGCATTTGTCCCCCTGAGGCACAGGGCCAGCTCCCTGCATCCACATACCCCTGGAAAATGTCACACACTTTCCAAGTTTACGTTTGATCTTTGGTTCCATTCCTTATTACTGCCCTTGTTATTTCCCTCTTCATTTTCACCCACTGAAATAACACACAAAGAGGTAGAAAATGGGTAGACATTAAGCAACTGTGGCCATCACTGCCAGCACCCTTCTCAGCCCAGCAGCTTACATGGGAGAACACCACATTGGACAAGGATGCTTATAGACAAAATTATCTAAGTTGGGAGGAGTCCAGGTTCCTATGGCATATAAGACCTTGTCCTCAGACCAGCAGTATCAATCTTTCTGGGGCACACATTAGGAGGACAGAATTCCAAGCTATACTCCAAATCTACTGAATGAGAATCTACATTTTAACAAGATCCTTATTTTAAAAAGATTTTCAGGGAAATACAATTTTGAAAAGCACTGCTCTGTGATAGTGGCTCTTGACCTTGACTATGAATTAAAATAACTGGGAAGCTTTTAAAAATACCTCATGCCAAGTCCCCATTTCAAGAGATGGATTTAATTGGTCTGAGGTGGACCTGGGAATTAGTATTTTAAAATTTTGCCTAGTGATTTTATAATGTGCAGTCCAGGTCAAGAAATGCTGCTAGGGAAATATCTGTATATTAGTTGGGTCTTGACTGATACCTTTTGGTACTTAGCTAGTGACTCCCAACTAGGCCACACTGTCTCAAGATTTCACAAGCAGAGATTTCAATTAATTCTAGCCTCAATTAACTTGATCTCCTATTTCATTCTTTTAAGTTCTTCAGGAACTGTACCATCTCTGTCAATTTGCATTCAGTTAGGTGGTTGTTACTTTTAATTGCCTTAGCAGGGGAAACTGGTAATTTATACATACAACTGAAGAAAAGAAGGTTCTTAATTTTTGCTAGAGGAGAATGAGATTAACAGTAGTAGTGACTAACCCTATGTTCCAGGCCCTGTTCTGAGCACTTGATACTTTGGGATCTTAGGAGATGGGTACTAATATTGTCTCCATGATGCACAGGAGAAAACTGAAACAAAAAGATATTGAGTGCCTCACTGAGTATCACAGGTCTACAAGTGGTAAGAACAAGGTAGGAACTCAGACAGTCTGGCACAGAACTTTTCTCCTAACCATGGCTTCCCACAGCAAAAACAATGCATGCCTTTGAATTTCTGTTCTCATCCAAGGAAGTTTAGGCCATGAAAAGAGGTGAAAAGGTAGGGTTAGCCTTGGGTTTGGAGTAGGTGGCTACTTATGTATTCCCATAGATCCAGAACAGAAGGTTTGGAGAGGAACTCAGGGATAGAGGAATGACACAATTGCACAATTGATTGTCCAAGCCTAGACAATGCTAAACCATATGCACACTGGCACAGCAGGCGTTAACCAGGACCAAACCGAGATGTGCAGTTGCCCTACTTTGAGGTCATCCTATCACTAGAGTTGAACGGTGTTTACATAGGTTACACGGTTGGTTTGTGGACAGGTGGGGGACATACCCTAGTTTTCTTGATTCCTATTCCAATGCTCTTCTCACTATTTTGTACTGCTTGCCCTAACATGCATCTCTTCTTCAACAACTTTCCAACTAGAATAAGCATCATCCTCCTGTGTTCCTTAAACTCCCTGTTCAACACTTTAATCTCCAACTATTAGAGCACTCCTTGACCACTGTTTCTAGAACACCTTTGTACATAGTCCTATTTTATACCTAGAGAGAAGAGTCCTTGGTTATTTTTTGTCTATCGATTGATCTATTTGGTAAGCTAATGGAAATGAGGGGTTCATAGGGGCACAAGACACACTCTTAACCCATAGGAAACTCAGGGTCTAATGTAAAAACAAATCTCTTGGGAGCCCAGGGAAGGCTTCCTGGAAGAAGGTGAGTTGAAATAAATGAGTGGGTATGAGACAGGCAAAGACTAGAGGATATAAGAAACAAAGGCCTGTGGAGGTGAGAATATCAGTGTATAAGGAAAACAAGCAGTTTGGTGCTGCTGGGGCACACATTGAGGAGAAGGGGAGCAAGAGCCAAGTCAGGCACTTGGTTACAAAGACCCTTGTGTGTCATTCCAAGGGTTTGGATTTTCGTCTGTAAGTTAAGGGAAACCTTAAAGTGTTTTAAGCAGACTAAGACATGAGAAAATGTGTTCACATAAATAACTGTAGTTTTAGGCAATTTAAAAGTGTTCATTACTATTGGGATTTTAAGTAATCTAATTTATCTTTTAATTCTTATCCAACCATTTGTAATTAAGATCTGTTCAGAATTTAACACTTTTATGACCCTATTCTGATGCTTTATAGAATTTTTCACTCATTCGATTCTTAAGGAGTTAAAAATTTAGAGTGAGGAGAGACAGTAATCTCTTGATCCACTTACAGTAGTCTCTATTACTTACATAAACATTCACATGTGCATGATTAACTGAAGAGCCACATGTTTATGCTGGCCTGTTTGCTCATTGGAACTTTACAGTGAAATACTGGATATGATACTTAAACAATGAGATTTATTAAAAAGAGCTTTGTGTTGAAAATAATGATCTTGATATTAAACATAGTGAAAATTTTGTTTTTAATTGAATGGATGTTTAAAAATCACTATTCAACAATTTACAAATTAATCATTATTGAATTCAATACAATTGATTTAAAAAGTTGTTCTCTAAGCTCTGAGTAATCAGTTTTTTTCTCTGCACGTCTTACATCTGCCACATTTTAAATGGATTAGTTTCTTCTTTTTTTCTTTTTCTAAATTTAAATATAGATGTGGGGAAGGCATCAAAAATCTTTACTCAGAATTTCAAGGAGCCAAAACTAGTTAGAATTTGATATCAATACATCTGAAATGTCAACACATTTTTTTCCTGGATGGTTTCCTGTGATTTGGAGTCCTGATTTTGGGAGTAATTTTCAGTATTCCACTTTTTAAGTGTTTGCTTTCAAGGAAGATATTGCCTTTGAGACTCAGTTTAAATTCTCCAAAAGTAGAAAACACGTGAAAAAGCCAAATTACATGCTTATGTCTCCAGGGTCTCAGTCTCCTCTCAGAAATATACACTCTTGTACT